TTTGAAATAAAAAAAAATCCAATTTTTTTAAATTTATTTATGGTTTACATTTATCTCTTGAATCTTTGATATGTAACAATTATTTAACTGCAGGATTTAGCAAGACATAGCTGCTAAAGCGTGCAACAGATGAATGCTGCTTTAATTTTGAAACATTACATTTATTCCTGTCTTCCCATTGCAACTATATCGAGTGCAAGCTGCAGTCAAGCTAAATAAAGCTCAACAAGCCAGTACCATTTTAAATGATGCACAGGTAAAGAAACTAATGAATTGAATGACTTCATTTGTTCAGTTCCTTTCAGCTCAGGCAGAATGACAGCCAGTCTGGACAAACTGCTAATGAAACTTACTGCCATTCTAAAAATAAAAATCACAGCTTGAAATGTAATGCCAGTGCCTCTGTGGAATCTAAAGGAAATAGAAATCTAGCTATAAGTAACTGTTTGGAAAGAAATCGGTGTATTACAATGTTTACTGGTAATCAATAAGCCTGTATTAACCATTTTGAAGGACTCTCTATACCTCTCTGTAGTAAGGAGCTTTATTTATTGAAAAAAAGGAAAAGGAAGTTAAATCCCCATGCCCTGTTATCATTGTGAGAATTGCATGTATGGGATTTACCGTAAGAAATTGCAAAGGGAACAAAGTGCTACTCCGGGCTCAGAAAATATTATTCTTTTTTTAGTAACTTATTCCATACAGTTCATTTTGTGAAAAGTTTCATTTCACTTGGAAAATGAAATCCTACATGAAAAGATTTTTTTCTGAATGGTTATAATCTTAAACAATTTTTTGTGCCTCAGGTTCACATAATAAACAATTCCGATCTCTCAGATCACACTCAGAACTTTATAAATCACTGTGGATTTTGCATGCATATTCATCTTCTTTCTCAGCCTCACACTAAGCTTAGACGGATGGACACTACATTTATGTGGAAATCAATCTCACTCCTTCTTAGGACAAGAATTTCTAAAAGCAGGCACAATAATAATTTCAAGAAGTATGTATCTGGCAAGTGAAGGTGATTAGTAAAAAGGAGGAAGAATCTAGGACATACGGGTTTCCTATGCCTAGCCAAGTCAAAATAGGAATAGAGAGAAAGTGTGAGATGATACCTAATCCACAAGGAGTCTTATATGCACAATAATGTTCAAAGCATTGGTCACATTTCCTTTATTATTCCTCATTTTAACCAGTCTTACATACACCTCCACACATGAATACAAAATACATGGTTACCTGCCATCTTCTGTAGAAGATCACAATTGTTGTCATGGATCACAGGAGAGCTAAGAGGTGAACACATCAAGCTGACCATGGAGCAAGCCAGTCTAAATTTCCACCGTTAATGCAAGGACCTGTAGGTAAATTAATACACAAAATTGTGTACCTCTAAGTTTAAATCAGGTGCTTAATTATGAACAGGAATTTGTTGGTATCAAAAGGAAGCACACTGTAAAGTGCAAAGTAAAGAAAATAAGTGGTGTCACACAGTAACTCTAGTGGATGAAGGATTGCATGACGTTATCAGGCAGAACCTCTTGCTTCCTTATTCTAGGTACTATTTTTTGTGTCTTTTAGAAAGCAAAGGCTCTCTTTAAGAGAAATGAAATATTGATTTCAGGTTCTAGCTAGACTCCATTAAGATGCTCTTTTAAGTTGTATTGTGTCTGCAAAGAGTGGAGTTTTATGAACATAAATCAGTTTTCTAGTCCATAAGTGGGCTTTTCATAAGCACCCATAAATAATGCACCCAACTTTCCTGTGAATCAATAGAACTTGACTCACAGCTTTCCTAAGCACTTTGAAAAAACCTTACCCGCATGTCTGGTATTGAATGTATCAATGATGACAAAGTTATGCTACAGGCAACCCATTTGTTTCTGAATACAGGAGCAAGAGAAACAGCCTTGTGGGGAAAAAAGGACAACTGATGACTCACAAAGCATTTCTCTGTGTGTTGAAAGCAGATGATTTGAACGTGTATTTGAATAAAGAAAGAAGACCTGACCAATATGATATATGGTTTGGGATGCCTCTCAGTCTCTTAGCTCTGCCTACACTGCCAGAGGCACCACTCCCCAGACTCTGAAAGGTGCTTTAACACAACAGACCTGGAGCCTAGGTCAGTGCAAAACACAGGAAGTGGGGAGCCAACCCTTACAACTCAAAGGGACGCTCCACTCCAGCCAGGGTTAAATGGTCCTGGCTCAGGCTCTGACCAAAGGCTCATCCTATTCAGGGTGAACATTAGCCCTGGAAATCAAATTAACAGAAAAAAAAATGGTGCTTCCTTCCTTACCTCATTCTTAGAATGGTCCAAATTTTTACTTGCATCTTTGACAATTCTGTCCAATTACCTAACCCTGTGAGGAGTGGAGTGGATTACAGGAGAGCAGGTCAGCCTGAGGGATATCCAGAGAAGACTGCTTGTTCAGCGAAGGGTCAGGAACAGTTTTATTTTTCAACAATTACAATTTGACATGACTTGTTCCATTCTTTTATAATGTGTCCTTGTATAGGTTTCCACTGGGATGTTTTGGATTTATTGTGACAATGATGTTGATAACACACAGACACTTTAGTTGTTGCTGAGCAGTGCTGGCATAAAGTCAAGGACATTTCAGTGTCTCCATGGTCTGCCAATGAGGAGCCTTACAAAAAGCTGATAGGCAGCATTGCCATGATACCTGATTCAAGCTGGACAAAGGGATATTCCATACCATGGAACATCACATTCTGACTATATACTGAGGGGACTTGGCTGGGAGGTGCCAATCGCTGCTGCTCAGGGACTGGATGGGCATCGGTCAGCAGGTAGTGAGCAATTGCATTGTGCATCATTTCTCTTTATTAGGTTTTATTCCACTCTCTCTTTTTTGTTGTCTCCATTTTCATTACTATTAGTATTGTTATTATTGTTGTGGTTATTATTATTTGAATTATTAAACTGTTCTTATCTCAATCCACAGGTTTTACCTTTTCCTGATTCTCCTCCCCATCCCACCAATGTAATGGAGGAGAAGATGCAGGGTAAGTGAATGGCTGCATGGTACATAATTGCTGTCTGGGGTTAAACCATGACACAGCAGTATTATGTTTTGTTAGTAGTTGCAGCAAAATTGAAAGATGCTATACACATATGGACAGTTGATAAATTCTGCTCTAATGGATATAAAAATTCAAAGACAAAGAATTTTATTTTTTTTCCAAAAAAAAGAGACAGTAACAAAGGCATTCACTTCCTTGATCAGATAATGACTTACACACATCTTTACAGCATTCCCCTGGAGACAGCTGTCACATGTGTAGATGTACACTTAACTACAAAGGTTTTTACAGCTGCTTCTGATACAGAGCTTGACCTCTCTGAATAAAGACAAATACTATTGCCCAGACTGGCATTGCTCTAGGGCCATATCTTGACAGCAACCTTAATGCTTTCACAGGCAGTATAACTGAATCCCTTCAGAACAACATGAGTACTGAGCAGCACTAAACAAAAGTTTCAAGGTTTGAAGAGAGAGATGTGAAAAAGAAAAAGAAAAAAAGTATAAAGAAAAAGGAAAAGGAAAAGAAAAAAAGAAAAAGAAATGTTTTTTTTCCCAGTTCAACTTTGTCTGCAGTCTGACCATCAGTCTCACTCAAATCTAGCCAGAGAAAAATTTTTGTGCTTTCTCAGTATGCCAGCACTGCTTCTCTGGGGTTCTGCATGCATTTGTAGAGGAGGAAGGAAACTAGTGAATAAATTACACCACCACAGTTGTCAATATTTTGTATTCAAGAAGATACATTAAAAAAAAATATTTTTGGCCCTATTTTTAATATAAATTCACAGGTTTCATCATTCATAACCAGCTTATGTTCTGTTTTAGAAATAAGCCATCTCAAGGCATTTTGTACTCCTCAGTGGATTTTGCAGGTCGAGGGAAGTGATCCTGCCCCTCTGATTAGTGCTGGTGAGTGCTGGAGTACTCTTACTACTACTGGGGTCCCCAGTACAAGGAGAGGTGAACAAACTAGAGAGCAGCCAGCAAAAGTCCACAAAGACAATGAAGGGAGTAGAGCATCTCCTACAAGAAAGGGTTGAGAGTGTTTCCTCCAGGCTGTTCAACCTGGAAAAGACTCTGGAGAGGATTTATTCCAACATATATCAATAGCTGAAGTAGGGGTGCAGAGGCTAAGCCAGGCTCTTTTCAGGGGTGCCCTGTGACAATGGGCATAAACTGAAACATGGAAGAGCAGAAAACCCTTTTTTTACAGTGAGGGTTAGCAAGCACTGGCAGAGGATGTCCAGGGCTTGTGGAGTCTCCCTCCTTGGAGATGATACTCAAAAGGTGCGTGGCTATGGTCCTGGGCCACCATCTCTCAGTGTCTTTGCTTGAGCAGGGAAGGTTGGACCAGATGACCTCTGGAGGTACTTTCCCACCTCACTCATTCTGTGGTTCTGTGACTCAAAACACTCTCATGCAAGCTCAGAAAGTACCTCCAGGTTGCCTGATATGGGAAGGTTTGAATGGTCCTGTATGTTCATGAAGAGTCAGGTTTGCCTCATGAAGGCATCCATGAAGCCTTCAAATCTTTTTTTTTTTTTTTTTAATCAGGACTGCACAGAAAACATACAAGAAAAACAAAAGCATAAGGGCTGCAATAAGTGAAACATCTCTCTAAAAGCATTAGTTCTGTTTTCATAGCGTGCGTTGCAGGTGACTGGACATTTCCCAGTTGGTTGGCAGGCCACAACTTATAGCAACTCACATCAGTGCTGTGAGTCAGCAACTTGGCAGCTTGATCTTCGTCTGAATTCCTTCACCACAGTGTCTTAGTGCTTCTGTTCTGTGGTGGTCCTAGTCATGTAGTGTCACAAGGAGTGTACAGAGTAGAGGTCGACTGTAGTTAAATACAAAAATTGAATACAGTTTGTCTTGATCCAATAATTAATGTATTGTATCACCTCTGTCTTTTGAGAAAGCTCCTCTTTGCACCAGTCTTACTTGAAAGTAACAGTGTTCTTCATACACCACTGTTTTTCAGTGACTTCAGTAATCTTTGGCCATGATCTGAAAAGCCTGTAGCAGGTACTGTCAGCGTGGATATTAAATGTGAGTCTCTGCACAGGGCATGCCATGGGGAAAAATTTCTCTATGAAGTCTTTGAGGTTGTTTTTAAAGACTCTAAGGAAAAAGGAGAAGAAAATAAGGTTTTCAGAGGCTTGCTACCAAGCATTAGATTAGGATTGGCATTAAAGGCAGTGCTTTTGAGACAAAGTAATTGTAAATCTACTTCACTTTTCACTGCCACCTTGTGAGAAGAGTGGTAAGTAACAGGAGAAGTTATTCTGGGGGATATTTGGAGTAAAGCATGAGAAAGCAGATGATGTGGAAGGATAAGAGAATTTCTTATAAGCCATTGGGGTCATTTGTACCAGGGCAGGAAGGAGAAATCATACTGTGGAAATGCAATACAGGGAGCAAAGGCACGACCACACAAAATGTTCAGTAATGCATTTTATAGAAAAATGTTACATAAAACAGGATGACAAAACCAGCACTCATGTTTCACAGTTGTTATCCTCTTAACCTAAAAAAGCCTTGCACAGGTCTCTTTAGGATTTTCTGATGCATTTTGTGATGGAGAATAGATTCTTAGCCCCAATCTTGAGCATTAGATTTGACTTTATTTTTGCAATTTTTAGTAGGAGCTGGTTTTTGTGTAAAGTAGTATCATTGCTGAAACTAATAACAAAGTATACAGTAGTACCCTTCTTGGTAGGGTGTGCTACCAGGCCCTGTGCTCAGCAGGGCTGTGGCACCTCCACGGGGTTCAGTTCCTTGTCACCTGTGATTCAGTGAAAGAAACCTGGTGGCCCCGCTGGCGGCGCTTACTCCACCCTGAGGAGGTTGGGATGTCCCGTTGGAGTCTTAGGGCTTGTCCCTCATCACGTTCCATCTTCCTTAGCTTCTCCCGCAGTGTTTGGCACCAAATGCTGCAGGACCTCAGTGGGGATCTGCTCCTTGTACCCTGCGGTTCAATGAAAGCAACTCGGCGCCCCCGCTGGCGGCGCTGGCTCCTCCCTGAGGAGTCCTGTTCAGCCCTCAGGGTTTGGCCCACATTGTGATCCATACTCCTTAGCTTCTCCTGTAGTGTTTGGCACTGAATACTGTCAGACCTGCCCGGGTTAGGGTCCTTGTCCCCTGAGGGTTGACAAAAGAAGCCCAGTGCCCCCCCGATGGTGTTCACTACTCCCCAAGGAGGCACAGATGTGCCCCAGGGCCTGCCAGTGTCCTTGTCTAGCAAATTCTCTCTGTGCCCTCAGAAGGCACCCAATGTGATGGGGGTCCTTTGTCTCCCTACCTACATCTGTCCCCGACAGAGGAGGCCAGGGACTGAGGCCCTTTAGGGCTGCCCTATGCCTCCAAAAGGCTTGTTGTCACAGGTGTCACAATGACTCCTTGGTGACATCACAGGGCTTTCAGAGACCACACCCAGAAGATACAATCCCTGTCCTCAGAAACAAAAACTTCCCAGACAACTAAACGCATGTGACTGCCCTGTTGTCAAGCAGAATTATGTTGCTGTTTTTCATATAAATTCAGGTTTCACAGGTTTCACTGTTCAAACCCAACAGTACATTTTAGAAATGTTTAGATGTTTTAGAAATAAACCATCTGAAGGCAGTTCTTACTCCTCAGATTACTTTCTCAGGAGCAGGTTTGGTGTGAAGTAGTATAATTTCTGATACTAGTACTATTTTTGTATGGTGTGCTACCAGGTTCTGTGCCTGATAGGGCTGCGGGACCTCCACCAGAATTGCCTCCTTGTTCCCTGTCCTTTTCTCCTCCTTTATGAATTAGATCATCATCACTGATACTGAAGTGTGTGATGCTTTTGCAGAGCTTTCTGTGTGCTAAGAAAAGTTAAAGTTCTTGCTTTTTGGCTACAAATTATTTCTTGTATAATGTATAATAATTAAAAAAGTTACAGGAAAGAGTGATTACACAGTCCTATCTTGAACACAGTCAGTGTTCAAGTGTTCAAGTCAGATACCTTAATGGTCTTTAGACTAACTGAACAACCTGCCTTTAGAAAAAAAACTTCATTCTCGTCCCTGAGATTTGTCCAGTTCTGAGCACCCTGACCACCTGAATTACCTGTCATTGTAATTTGAAGCTCTCCTGCAGAACAGCTCTACACCCAAGACAATGCTATGGAGAAAGAAAGTCTCTGTATATATCCAGACACACAGATCCCTGCATTCAGAGATCCTTTAACTCTCCCTGGAGCTTTGCTTACACATGTGAAAATTCAAGGTATCTCACACAGAGGAGTTTGTAAGTAAAAAGTCACATGTGCATGATGCTGTTCTGGGTCATCATCCTGGACTCTTTCATCACCTTGCTTTACCAACATCAGTATGTGCTTACAGGCTTAAACCAAAGGGTTTTCTTAACATCTTTTTTCTCTATGTCCAGTTTCTCAAATTCTATCTTCCAATGACTAAGAGTTTAACTCTTTTTTAGGGTGAGACCCTGATAGAGAAACCTATGCTGTTAGAGCTACACATTGAGTCAGCAGAGTCCCCTAGAGAGAACTGAGCATCATTGCCATGCGTGGAAGGGAAGCTGGCACATACTCAGCTGAAAGTTTATGGGCCCTGATGGGAATCACCTCAGAGTAATGAGGGAAATAGTGAAAGAACTTGCCAAACTAGTCTCAATCATCTACCAGCAGTCCTAGTTAGCTGGAGAAGTTCCAGCTGACTGGAATTTATCAAGTGTAACACAAGAAGGGTCAGAAGGATGATCCGGGGAACTACAGCCTAATCTCAGTTGTGGGCAAGGTTATGGAAGAGATCATCCTGAGTGCCATTACACAGCACACGTAGGACAGCCAGGGGATCAGCCAGCATGGTTTCATGAAAGGCAGATCATTCTTGACCAACCTGATCTCCATCTATGACAAAGTGACCTACTTAGTGGATAAGAGAAAGGCTGTGGATGTTGCCTATCTAGACTTCAGTAAAGCACTGTCTCCCACAGCATCCTCCTAGAAAAATTGGGCGCTCGTGGCCTCGATGGATGGACTCTTCAGTGGGTAAAAATCTATCTGGATGGTTGTATCCAGAGAGTTGTGATGAATGGAGCTAAATCCAGTTGGCAACCAGTTGCTAAAGGTGTTCCCCATGTCTCAGTTTTGGGGCCAGTCCTGTTTAGCATCTTTATTGATGGTCTGGACGTGGGGATTGAGTTCACCCCAGTAAACTTGCAGACGACACTAAATTGGGTGAGAATATTGGTCTGCTTGAGGATAGCAAGGAACTACGGAGAGAGCTGGACAGGCTCAATCAATGGGCCAACTGCATGAGGTTCAATAAGGGGAAGTGCCTTGTCCTGCACTTGGGTCACAGCAACCCCATGCAGTGCTACACGTTGAGGGAGGAGTGGCTCAAGAAAGAAAGGAACTTGGGGCTGCTGGTTGACAGCCAGCTCAGTGTGAGACAGCAGTGTACCCAGGTAACCAAGAAGGCCAACTGCATCTTGGCCTGTATTAGAAATAGTGTGCTCAGCTGAACTAGGGAAATGATCATCCCCCATATTCAGTGAGGCCACCCCTTGAGTATTCAGTTCTGGGTCCCTCACTTAAAAAAGGACATTGAGGTGCTGGAGGGTGTTCAGCAAAACGCAAAAACGTGTGTGAAGGGCCTAGAAAACATGTCCTATGAGGAACAGCTGAGGAAGTTTGGTTTGTTTAGTCTTGAGAAGAGGAGGCTCGGTGGGGAGCTCATCTTTCTCTACAGCTACCTGAAAGGTTGGTCTCTTCTGCTGTGCCTGCAGTGAGAGGAATTGAGGAAATGGCCCTAATCTGAGACGAGATTCAGATTAGATGTTAGAAAAAAATTTTCAGTGTTAGGGTGGTCAGGCATTGGAATAGGTTGTCCAGGGAGGTGGTGGGGTCACCATCCCTGGAGGTGTCTTCATCTGTCTCTGGGTGATGTGTTTTAGGGGTTACGGTGGTAGTGCTGGATTGAAAGTTGGACTTGATGATCGTAAAAGTCTCTTCCAGCTTTTATGATTCTACGAAAGAAGAGTGAAATAGAATCAGAACTGAAATAAAATCTTCTATTTTGCTCATTTATATTATTTCCCTTTCTGCTATTAACACTTGGGTGGTCTGTCCATTGAGAAAATTCAGTACACAGGAATTACTTATTCCTCTACTCTCCTGAAGTAAATTCCAACAGTCTTTCCGAAACACCATGGAAACTTATGAGAGCACAATTTTTCAAATGCACACAGATGGCTTGCCTGCAACCTTATTTAAATATCACTTTCAGTGTCCCAAACATGAGCGTGGCAGTAATGAGAAAGGTAATACAAGAAATGCAAACACATTAAGAAGGAGCACAGCATGAAGAGACAGAGAAGCATCAGAACAGCTTCTCTGAAAATCCACATTAAAATTAGCCAATTAGTGATATGCCATCTGTTCCTCCAAACCTCACTTATAGCAGGAGGTTCTCCTGTTTAATGGAATTACTAATTCTTCAGGGTTTGGAAAAATTAATGATTAGTTGTACTTTTTCCCTCTATCTTTTTTTATTGGATGAATCTCTGCATAATTATTTACCTTGGAAATGTCACTGGGGCAGCCACCACCATGGTGCAGTAGTATTTTTTGCTTGTAGCAGTGTTGTATAAAATTTGGCAGGATCTATATTCACTGGACATCAAGGATGCTGCACTTTTTTCTTTTTCCTTTTTTTTTTTTAATTTAATTTTGCTGCATTCCTTCAACGCAACTGTGATAATCTCCTGTTACAGTTCATTTTGGTTTTGGATAGTTTTCCAAGAAGAAAATCAGTGTAAAAACAGGGGTGAGTTTCACGCCAGACTGGGTGGAATAGAACCATTACAAGATTATGTGTAATCCAGGTTCCAGTAGAAACATATTATTGCTTGGGTTTTGTCAAAGTTTGGCCCAGACTTGTTGACAAATCTGTAAGTATGGCCTTAATTTTTGCTTTAGAATGAGCTGAAACACAAGAAAACTTGCTGGGTTTTTCCAAGACAATTAGTTTTTACATCCAGACCTGGTGGAAACTGGGAAGAATTATTAAACCACTTCTTCTCTTCCCTCTTTTTCTACTTTCTTCTGATGTCAGGATTTCCAAAAACTTCAGCAATTTGGGTTCTGCTGAGGTCACATTTTTAATACAGTTTTTCACAGGCCGTGGATCATGCTAGCTAGGAGTATAGAATACTTTTAAAAACTTCCTGTGTAGAGTGAAAAAGAAGATATACGCAGATTCTAAAACTTTGATTTTCCAGTTTCACTGCTTGCAAGTTTCTTGATGAAGAGAAGCCCTTTGGCTGGAGTACAAGTCTTATGAAGCTGAGGAAATTGGGGTCGTTTAACCTTAAGAAAAGGAG